TAAGTGCTTGCCTGGCAAGTGCAAGGGCCTGAGTTCAATCCCTGGTTCCACAAAAAAAAAAAAAAAAACAAGAAGGGCTGGGGATATAGCCCAGTGCAAAGTCCTTGGGTTCAGTCCCCAGTACCTAAACAAATAAACATAAACAGGGAGATGGATCTTTTGCAAATGGGAGAGGGACCCAGAGATGGAGTGGAAAGGGAGGAAGGAACCGGTGAGGGGACACAAAAAGAATTAAGATGGCTTGGGCACGATGCACCAACTCCCTGCAGTGAATGCGACCCCTCACGCTGCACACAGTGCAAGTAAACATTAAAACAAAAACCCTCAACAGCAACCACAGGGGACCTCAGTGCGAGGTGCTGCTGTCATGGCTGCCACCATCACGATTATTTAGCAACATAAATAAGGCCAGTAGTGTGGGGCAGGGTGAGGTTGGCCTCTCCCCTTGACTCAGAGGAGAGACCTGAGCAAGGGAAAGGACAAGTCCAGGTCACCCACAGGGCGTGCGGCTTCTGGCTCTGGGCAGGAGCCCTCCACCAGTGTGTACAGAGTTAGCTATGCCAGTTACCAACCCTGAGTGGGAGGGAGAGGAGCCTGGGGGCGGGGGCTTCTTCCCTTGACAGGAAAGAAGTTTGGGGACTCAGCTCATCCCCTTCCCAGAGCCTTCGACTTGGGCAAGATGGGAAGAAGGGAGAGCGAGTTCTTGGAGGAGGGAGGAGCAGCCCCAGGCAGTTTTGTGACTGGAAGCCAGGGTCCCACGAGGCTATCTGTCCACACTGGGGCTGGGTAAACAGCCCTGCACTACACAAACAAGACTTGTGGGACAAAGAGTGAGCAGACAGGGAAGGAACGTTTCCCTGCCCTTCTTGTGACCCTGGAGGCAAGGGGCCTTCGGGGGACAGTTATCTCTTGCTTGTAGAAACAAGTAGGGACTCATGCCCTGCCTCAACGTGCAAACCTCCGAGTTCTCTCCACAGTATTCTGCCCACAGACTTCTCCCCTTACCGGTGATGTAAACTGAGTTGCAGAAAGCGTTTCCTCTTGCCTTTTTCCGCTGCAGACATGTACCTCTTACACGGCCAGGCATCTTCCTACCACACGGCACTACAAGCTATCCGCAAAGAAAAATTCAGCACCAATTTTGTTTCACATGCCCACCGAGTTCCCCAAAGTGGTAAGTGGCTTGGCTATGTCAAAAGGCTTTCTACATTTGTGATTTTGAGAGCAATTGCAAAATTGTCCTACGTCAAGTTGCACCAGTTTACATCCGTGCAAGGCCCTAGGCCAGCTCTCTCAAACACTTGTCAACTCTGTGAGTTCCCAAAGTGATGCCCGACTTCTTCAGACCTGAGAAATGTACAGGGATAGGGGGATTCCAGCCCTCTGGGTAGTTCCTTTATTTTTTTATTTTTTTATTTTTTTGGTGGAGTTGGGGATTGAACTCAGGCCCTTGCACTTGCCAGGGAAGCACTTATTCTACTAAGCCATCTCCCCGGCCCCTACTAATCCCATTTAGAAAGACTCTGCCCTCTCACCTGATTACCTCTCCCAGAGGCCTGCCTCCAAATACCAGCACATTAGGGGTTAGGATTTCAAATCATGGACTGCAGAGAAGCAATAGGCCAGATAGCAGTACCATCTAAATCTAACTGAGCCCCACCAAAGCAGGCTGTACCAGAGTAGCCTTGCCCCAAAGATGAAGTATTTGTGTTTTAGGTTTGTTTTTGTTTTTGTTTTACAGCATTGATGGGGACAGAGCCTCATGCATGCCAAGAAGTGCTGGCTCTACCCCTGAGCTATATACAACCAACCCATAAATCCTTACTTTAAGCCCTGTGTTTTGGGGTGGTTGTCATAGCAGAAGCCAACTGAAGCAAATGATATTTTAGTATGTTTTATTTTGTTTTGTTCTGTTTTGAGACAGGGTCTTTTTTTTTTTTTTTTTTTTTTTTTTTTTTTTTTTTTTTTTTTTTGCAGTTTAGCATCAAATTAGGTATTATACTTCCTTAGACAGGGTCTTGCTATGTATCCCAGGCTGGCTTGACTCACTATGTAGCATACACAGGCCGGCCTTCAGTTTACAGCGATCTTCTTGCCCCAACCCCTCAAGTGCTGGGATTACAGCCATGCGCCACCACGCCTAGTTGATGTCATCTTCATAAGAGCATTTGTGCTTTCTCGCCTGTCCTTTTCGAATTTTTTTTTTAATTGATTCCTAGAAGCCGTATGTATTAACTTCCTGTGGCTGTCGTAACACAGTCTGCACACCAGGTAACTAAAACAAAGAAAAGTATTGTTTGCCAGTCTGGGGTCAACAAGTCTCAGATCAAGGTGGCAGGTCTGCGGGACTGCATCTCCTCCAGCCCTGCTTCTGGGAGGCTGCCAGCGATTTGGGCATCCTTGGCCTGCAGCTGCATGACTGCAGTCTCTGCCTCTGTCATTCCAACCTTCTCTCTGGGTCTCTGTCATCACTCAGCCACCTTCTTACCAGGTCACCAGTCACGTTGGATGAGTAGCCCACTCCAACCCACTATGATCTCATCTTAACTAGTTGCACTGGCAATGGTATTCCAAATAAGGCTGTGTTCCCAGTCCTGGGGTTAGGACTTCACTCTGTCTTTGGGTCAAACACATCTCATAGCTGGAGCTCTTGTATGTTGGAAACGGTAGTCCTGCTGTACCTGGCTCCTTCTCTGTCTCTCCTCGGGCTGAGGGATCCCCTGAAGCCCATGTGCCTGGCCCACAGCCCTGCAGGTACACATGAGCCAGGCAAGGTCCAGATGAGTCACCAGGAAGAAGGAGGGGACATTCCTACCACATTTGTGGAAATGGCAAGAATGGTCCTTACACCTGTCGAAACCTTACCAGAATGTGTCACTTGAAGGAGACATAAGAGTCAGACAGAGGCAGAGGCAGGGGCAGAGGCAGAGACACAGAAATAGTCATGAAGAGAGATAGAACAGGGCTGGCGAGATAGCTGAGTGGACTAAGCGCTTGCTTAGGCAAGTGTGGGGGCCAGGGTTTGATCCCTAGCACCACATGCTGCGCTGGCCCCACCACCACCATGCACGCTGAGCCAGTGATGGAGTCCCAGCATGGTGGCACATGCCTGTAATCCCAGCACTAGGGATGCTGAAAACAGGAGGATCACTACGAGTCCAAGCACACAGATGCGCATGCGCGCGCACACACACAAGAGAGACAGAGAGAGACAGACAGACAGAGAGAGACAGACAGACACACGAAGAAAAAAGAAAGAGGCAAAGAGAAATTAAAAAACAGACAGTGTGGACAGAGATAAAAGGACAGAACAGGGGAGAAGGATTCAGAGAGATAAAGAGGGACACAAACAAGGAAAAATATCCAAATGGAGAGACAGAATAAAAGAGAAAGCCAGAGACACAGAAGAGGAGCAAACTGGAGATTTCAGGAGACCACAGTAGTCTGTGGGAGGATGTGCAGGCTTCAAAACACTTCCTTTATTCTTTAAATAAAAGAGGAAATTGGGCCCACAGCTATGAAATCATTTCATCAGAAGTGGTGGTGCCAGTGCACGTGGTGCGTGAGCCCCTAAGCTTCCCAGCCCATCTTACACAGGGGGAGAACCAACGACGAATGCAGAGGAACCATTCCCCGGGTCACCCAGGGGCCAGGGGCTGAGCAAGGTTCAGACCTGCCTGCATCACTACCTTAATGTTCTTTCTTTCTTTCTTTTTTTTAATCTTAACATTTTTTCCCTTTCTTTTTTCTTTTCTACTACAGGGATTGAACCCAGGGTCTTGTGCATACTAGGCAAACACTCTACCACTGGACTACCTTCCCAGCTCCTCATTTTTTGTTTTGAAACAGGTCTCACTGAGCATCCCAGGTTAGCCTCAAACTTTTGAACCTCCTGCCTTAGTCTCCCACGTAGCTGGGATTATACACCTGGCTCCACCACCACGATTTGTATTTATCCACCTCATTTGCACCAATTTCTTAGTCAGTCTTCACACTACACCTAAAAAGGACTCATCTGGGTTCCCGATGAGGACAGGAAGGTTCAGCTCGGAAGACTATGTTGGCTCTGGGTTACCCAGCCAGGGAGTGATCCATCCCAGCAGCCATCTGCTGACAATGGCTAACCTTGGAGTCCAGAACACACCCCAACTCCCTTGTCATACCCAGAAGTGAAAATGAAGAGCCCCAGTTGGATCCAAAACAACAAAACTGCTATTTTTACTGTGCGGCAGGCCCTGTGCAAAACCAGGTGAGTTTTTTCCTCTCCCCAGAACACTGGACCTGGGAAAAAGAAACTTACTTACAATCTCTGCTTCCCAGGGAGCTTGGAATACAGAGGCAGTGAGTCATGAAATACAAACCTTCATCATCTGGGGCCAACACCCCTAAGCAAACATCAGGGCCACACCGAGACAGGATTTCTTTGGGACTTTTCTCACCTGATCTGAAAATGATTAGCCTAAGGTCTCAACAGATTAGTAAGAATCAAAATAGCACAATCATTATTGTACAAGGAGCTACTCCTTCTCCAGCATTTTCTCTATGACTCACACTGACCTCCCTGCAGTTCCTAGAAGTCACTCAACACAGTCCCACCTCTGCCCTTTGTGCAGGCTCTTCCCTGTCCCAGGAGAGCTTTCCCTACACATTCATTGGACTTCCTTCCTCCATGCTCACAGCATCCCCAGGGACTGCCCCACCGAGCACAGCTCACACGCACTAGCACCCTGGCATCTCCTTCAAGTTGTGCCTGCTTTCCCCACCTGGCCTAGTCCTGGACAGTGAACGTTTAGACAACGTGCACAGCCCACTGTCAACACAACAGTGGGGACTTTGCTTTGTTTCCTGCTGTGTCCCCAGCTCTGCAGTTGGGGCTGGCACAAAGGAGCTCCTTGGTAAACGCACGAGAAATTTGTTGAGCCCTCCATGTGGGCCTGCTACTATTCTGAGCCTTTTCCTGTGTTCAATTGCTCTTGCTGACCAGAAGCAGACTTCTTTTGTTCTCTGCATTTCACATATTGAGGAGACATCGGAGCAGGCATAAGTGCCTGCCTAGCAAGCGCAAGGTCCTGAGTTCAATCCCTGATACAAAAAAAAAAGCCTCTTATCTACTTGTAAATTTGATATAATTAATTTAAATAGTTGGCTAATTTCCTTTATTTTCTTCTGAACTATTTTTTTGCTTAACTCTATTTTTATTTATTTATTTTTGTTAAAGAGAATAAAAAACAGTAAAAAAAAAAAATTAGAAGCAATACAAAATTTCACTTAACAAAATACTAAAATAGGAATTCAACAATGATTGTTATATTGCATAATGGGGTCTTCAAGTTGGTTGTTTAGATCTGCTAAAGTATTTTTAAAGTAAACACTTTACTTATCAGCAGACCCGGATGGCATCCACCCCAAATGCTTCAGTGAGCATCTGGGCCTTTTGTTTGATTTTTGTTTTTTTTTTAAAGGAACAACTTCCCCACATAACCACAAAATCTTTCTCATAACAGCGATATCCACTTTTTTGTGTGTGGCTAAAGTGAAGATAAGCTGCAGACATTATGTCATTCAACATCTAAATCTTTCTGAGTTCATCTCTGAATAACAAAGGCATTTTCCACACACGACCACAATACCCCCAACACCCCCAACAGAGCTAACGGCTCTAAATGTGACCTAACAGTCAAGCACCTTCGGTCTCCTACCCAGACAAATTTTTATCCTCATTTTACACCTGAGAAGAGTCATTGTCCAAGGAAGTCGCGTGGCAGGAAAGAGGAAGAACTGGGATTTGAACCTAGGCAATCTGATGACAGAGCTGTGACCGCTGTCGTGAGTCAGGGCCCAGCCAGCTCCGGTCCTCCCTACGTGGTGGCCGCACCCTGGGAGGAGAAGTTCTGCGGCCGAAGTGGGGGAGAAGGGTGGGGGAGGAGGGGGCGGCGCCCACGCCTCTGCCCTCACTGGCTCCCGAGCAGCCGGCTGGGGAGGAGCCCCGGGCCACAAAACTGCCTCATTCCGGGCGGGTGCAGCAAAGGAGCGGAACCGGGCCCGGCGGGGAGCATGGGCCGCCCCGCGCTGCTATTGCTGCTGCTGCCGGGCGTTCTGATCTGCGCCCCAGGTAGGGTTCGGGGCAAGCGCCTTCTCTGGAAAGCGGGGAACGGGGTCTGTTGAGTTGGAGACGGACCCCAGCACCTCTCCCCGCATCCAAGCATCTGCCTCGCGCCGTGGCCTGCAGACGCGCACGGCACAGGCCCTGGTCCACGGTGTGGAAAGATTGGTTGGGGAAGACTAGTTAGTTGGGAAAAACTAGCGGGAAAGACTAGTGGGGCCGAGGCGTTAACAGGGCGATCTTTCGCGAGCGCCTGTTTCTGTCTGATCCCTTCCGCTCGCCTTCCTTGCCATCTCAAGCCACGCTGGCGGAGCTATGATTAATCTTTTTCACGGAGGACCCTGAGCCGCAAGTTAAACAACGGCTCTGAAAGCCCGAGCCAGATCTGAGTAAGCGGAGTTCTGACCCTTCCGGGCTCCCCAGGCTCACCCTTAGAGAAATAAGGGGATAGCGCCCCGTTTTACAAAGAGCCTGAGGAAAGTGGGGCCGAGCATCTCGGAAGACAGTTCACTTTCACCATCCGCTCGCCCAAGTGACCACTGCACCTGTTTCCCCCGGAAAATATGGGCGAGTGGGTTTGAGAAATGAGAGGATGTGGAGAAGGAACTGGATGAGGTCAGACGCGGCGGGGGGCGGCGACGCGGCGGCGGGGACCGCGGGTGGTCAAGAATGAGTAATGATCGAAGTTTCGGAGGAAAGAGACGTCCGGGAGGCTGAGCGGGCGGGGGTCGGGGGCTGCAGAGGGGACGGTGTTCCAACCCCGGAGAGCTCCCGGGCGGGCTGGGGGCGGGGCTAGAATATTGAGTACGGGGCGGGGCCGTGATGTGGGGGCGGAGTTGGGGGCGGGAGTAGAATTTGGAGAGTCCTGCGGGCAGAGAGACCTAGAGCAAAATCCGGTTCTTTGGGATTCACGCCCCACAGCTGATGGGCGGGGCTAGGGTTGGGGGTTGTGGCTGGGGAGGGTACTTAGGGGAGCTCGGCGGCAGCGGAGGTATAAACTAAAGATCGATGGGATGGTGAGGGGAGAACGCCCCTAGCAGAGTTTAAGAGACGAGGAACTAGAGTCGAGTGGGACAGCTAACGCTGACTGTGAAGACGGGGATAAGACTTTAAGGATGCATGAATGGATTTACAGGGAACAGGCCAAGGCAGGACCTGGGGAGCGCCTGTGGGCAGAGGTAGGACGCAGGACAGGGACTGAAGGACCCAGAGTTGGAACCAAGAAGCAGGAGTGGCCAGTGGACGGGTCCTGGAGCTGGCCTTGGAGTCCGTCCTGGCTCTTGTGACTAACCAGGCCTCCTGTCCCCTTCCCACCTCCTCCAGGATCCTGGGCTCTGCTCTGCTTGCAGTGTAAGAGTAGGGGCCCCTGCCAGGAGGAGATGTGCGCCCCCGGCCAGGACCTCTGCAGGACCACAGCCATGCGTGTGTGGGAAGGTGAGTCTGACCCCAGCGTCCCCAACTCCAGAGCGATAAAGAGCGCTAGTGACCAAGAGCCCTTCGCTCACACCCCTCACACCCATGGAATTAGCAAACATTTAAACTTTTAACAGTGTCTTGGATGTAACTCAGTGGTAGAGCTCATTCAGTTTTTGCCTTGAGATGCATTCTCAGCACTGAAAATAAAATAAAATATTGATGGTACACAGAGCAATAAAGATGTGCAGACATACACCCCATGATAGGGAAGTAAATTAGTGCATGTGCCACCTAGAGCTATTGGGTAATATCTAGTACAGATGGGGGCCGGGGACATGGCTCAGTAGAATAAGCGCTTGCCTGGCAAGCGCAAAGGCCTGAGTTCAATCCCTGGTTCCACAAAAAAAAAAAAAAAAAAAAATCTAGTACAGATGAAGATTACCATACTCTACAGCCAGTAGCTCAACTCCTAGGAATCCAGAAACACCTCAGATGCTTGGCCACACGACCCACAGACACACACATAAGGATGTTCTTCACAGTAGTAGTTGTGATACGGTAAATTGGAAACTGGCAAAGGATCATACAGTATGATCATATGGTAGATTCCTGCTCAGAGTTTAAGAGAAGGAGTCAGGGCTGCCCATTGCCTTGTGGATATATCTCAAAAAACGTGATGTGCCTATAGTTCCAGCGACTAGGGAGGCTGAGGCAGGAGGATATGTAAATTGGACACCAGCCTGGGCCACTTAACAAAACTGTGTCTCTGAAATAAAATATAGGGCCAGCAAGATAGCTAGCAGACTAAGCACCTGCTTAGAGTGGCATGGGGTTCGATCCCTGGTACCACATGCCATGCCATCCTTGTTCCCGGGGCATGGTGCGCTGGCCACTGATACGGAGTTGGTGGTGCATACCTGTAATCCCAGTGCTGGGGAGGCCAAAATCAAGTGAATCACTGTGAGTCTGAGATATATAGTGAGACCCTGTAGAAAATACATTTAAAAAAATAATAATAATAAATTGGAGCCAGAGAGATAGCTCAGTAGAATAAGAGCTTGCCTGGTAAGTACAAGGTCCTGAGTTCGATCCCTGGTGCCACATAAATAAATAAATAAATAAATAAATAAATAAATATTTTTTTAAAAAAATTAAATAAATGAAATAAAATATAAAAATGAGTGGAGATGTAGCTTAGTGGTAGTGTGCCCTGGGATTTAATCCCAGGTAGTGCCCAAAAAACAAAGACATGTCAGAATTGAGGGGAAGAGACATATTGCACGGAATGCCTTCTAACATAAGTTTTCAGACAAACATGGAAAACAATAACATATGTCACTAGGCCTATATAGGGTGGGAACTTTTTACCACTGGTTGCTTCTGAACCAAGCATAAGGGGAATGGGATTTGGGAGATATAAAACGGGGCACTTTAAAAATTCCACTTCCTCTAAAAGGTACCTGAAACAGGCCAGTTTTAGAGAAAACTGGCTTCCCTGGGGGGGGGGGGGTATTGCACGGTGGCAGGATGACTCTAGTGAAGACAGAGTTGGACCCAAGCAGGAGCAGTCTGGCAAGAATCAGCCCTGGGAGTGATTAAAAGTTGGCCAGGCCCAGAGGAATCCTCTGGACACTAAGGATGCATTCTTCCCAGGAGAAGAAGAGCTGGAGGTGGTAGAGCGGGGCTGCACTCACGCAGAGAAGAGCAACAGGACGATGAGCTATCGGAGGGGCTCACAGATCATCAGCCTTACAGAGACCGTGTGCGGGTCCGACTTGTGCAACAAGCCCAGACTCGGTGAGTAGAGCGGACTGCACCACCCCCAGCCCCAAACTCTCCCTCACACAACCTCACCACTGCGTTAGATCCCCGCCCCGCCAGCACCACTCCAGTCCTTACCCCAGTACCAGCCCCAACTCAATCCCTTTGGCTTTCCTAACAGCTCTAATCCCACCCAGAAAGCAACACTGCCCTCATCTCAAACTACGCCCACTCCCACTCCCAGGTGTGGACCTACCCCCTTCCTACACGTTTGCCTGGGTGATTTTTGTGTATGAGGTACACTACCACCCCTTAATATTCTGATGCACATGCTTGAGAGGTGGGCGAGGTGTCTTGTTGATTTCTTTTATTTTTATGTAATTTTTTCCTTGGGGACCGAGGATGGTCCAGCAATAGAGGCCAAAATGCTTATTTGTTTATTCATTATGTATTTGGTACAGGGTTTCACTATGCAGCTTGGACTCATAGTGATCCTCCTGTTTTCAGCCTCCCCAGTACTGGGATTACAGGCGTGAGCCACCACATCTGGTCTCAGTCCCCGGCTTAGCATGCCTGGGGATGGGGCTGGCATGGCATGTGGTGCTAGGGATCCAACCCAGGTCCCTGCGCTTGCCTAAGCAGGTGCTTAGTCAGGTTTTTTGGTGGTTTTTTTGTACAAGAGATCAAACTCATGACCTTGCACTTGCCAGGTAGGCAGTTATGCCACTAAGCTATCTCCCTGGAGAGAGGGCAAGACACAAGCAGAGACTCATGGTTCTTAAGGAAAGCCAAAAGAGCAGAGAAACAGGACATGGTGGTACGCGCCTGTAGTCGCTCCTGCTTGGAAGTCTGGGGCAGCAGGGTCACTTCAGTTTTGGAGTTCTAGACCATCCTGGGGTCTGGGGGGAGAGTCAAAATTAACAAAAACAAGAGGAGAACACAGTCTAGGAAGGGTCCCTGCACTACATGATTTGAACAGTTGGCAGGGGTGTCAAGAAACTTCCCTGATTCCTTTAGGCGCTTGTCAATTGAAAAATAAAAAAGAACCACATTCTTTCCCTGGTACCACCAAAAAAAAAAAAAAAAAAAAACGGCTGGTGAGATGGCTCAGTGGTCTAAAGCACCTACTTGGAACAAGCTTGGCAAAGCATCAGGGACCGCAGTTCAATCCCCCAGCACCACATGCAAGCCAGCCCCGCCCCCTGGTGGGCTAAGCTGGACACACACATACACACACACACACACACACACACACAAATTAAAAAAAGAAAAATTAAAAAAAAAAAGAACCACATTCTCCTGTTCAGCCAATTCCCACAGGAGAGACAAGAATGGGGAAGGAAGGGCCCTGCCCCGCACGGTTAGCAGATCCCTCTTTCTGTCCCCGTGAGGAAGGAAACTGATTACGGGCACGGCAGTCCCAGTGACGTCTGCAAGCACAGTTCCTGTGTTTCCTCTGGGTTTTCCTTCCCCCATCCTGACGTGGCCTGATTTTCATCCACCCTAAGCACGAACTTTCACTGGTGGCGAGGCTCACTCTGACATTCATCTTGAAGGAAGTAACGGGGGGGGGGGGGGGACACGCCAGCTACCTCTCTCTGGTACCCGTGCATCTAATCAGAAATGACAGTCAAGGTAGCGGTGAGTGTGAGAACAGAGCCCAGATGTCCCTTGCTGAGCCTGGTGCCACCCCTCCCACTGACAGGTCACAGAGACGAGAGCCTTCTAGTGACACTTGGGAGTGGTCAGGGGTCACAAGGAGCCTGGCACCAGCTGCTGATTTAGCCATCAATGATTTGTTCTTTCTTTCCTTTCTTCCTTTTTTTTTTTTTTTTTTTCCTTAATTTCTGTGTGCAAGAAATACTGAGGATTGAACCCAGGGCCTTTGCACTGAGCTATATCCCCAATGACCCCACCTTTAAGGGAAAAAAAAACCAGGTTCTTACTAAGTTGTGAAATTGCCCAGGCTGGGCTTGAACTTGCAATCATTCTACCTCGGCCTCCCAGTGTGCTGGGATTTCAGGCCTGGCTGCCACACCTAGCTTTTGTATCCCCATCTTTTACGTATTTGGTACAAGTCTCACTATGCAGCTTGGACTCATAGTGATCCTCCTGTGTCAGCCTCCCCAGTGCTGAGATTATAGGTGTGTGCCACCATGCCTGGTCTTGGTGGCCAGCTTAGAGCCCCCAGGGACGGGGCCAGTGCTGCATGTGGTGCCAGGGATCAAACCCTGGTCCCTGTGCTTGCCTAAACAAGCACTTAGTCTGCTGAGCTATCTTGCTGGCCGCTCTACTGCCATCTTAACCTGCTGTGGCACCTTGGACTAGTTCACTAAACCACATCCTGTACTTACCTGATGTTAGGGACATAGCAGTGAACGAGGCAACCTTGGGCCCTCCCTCCATGGGACTTGCAATCCAGTGAGTGTCTTTGGAAAGAAAGTGACAATCCCATCACCAGACAGACAGACAGATAGCAATGGATCAGATCAGTCAGGGACAGAATGGGGAGGTGCAGGGATGGGATGAGGGAAGTTGGGCTGAGGGATTCCAGCAGGGCTACGCAACTCCCATCAAGGAAGAGGAAGTTGGGCCTGGGGACAAGCAGTGGGGAGGGTGTGACAGTAGAGGGTGGGGCAGGTTGGGAGGCCCAGAGGGGCTAAAGTGGCATGGCTGGAGAAGGGAGGAAGTGCGCCAGGGAGCTGGACAGCATCCTTTCTAGTCTGAGTCGGGGAACATGGACTGCATCCTGGAAGCAGCCGGGGGTGGCGGAAGGTCATAAGCAGACGTGTCACGATCACATTTATATTTTTAGCAAATTCTTTGGCCCTTAGGCCTTAAGACAGATTGGAAGGAGGCAAAAGCAGAGGAGGGAAACTGGCTTGGAAGCCGATGAAGAGGGTGGCAGGACAAGGGCGTTGGGCATGCAGGAGGACAGCAGTGGCCAGCAGGGGCTCTCTCAGGCCACAGTGATGGCGGCGTTTGTGGAGACTGAATGACAGTTATTCAGGGTCATCAAAGAGCAGCAAATGGAGGGTAGAGCCCGAAGTGCTACAGTCTCTGAAATAAGGAAGCGCAGAAGTAGTTTCACAGGCAACCTGCTTTCCTCAAGTGTGCTTCCAGTTCGCTCCCGTGAAGGGGAAACGAAGCCTGTGTGGAGAGGAAGTCGTGAGACTGAGAAGACAGGTGGGGGGGAGGGCTGCCAGCGCGTCTGGAAAGGAGAGGGAGGATCCAGGAATAGATGGGACCGCAGGAAAGGGAGTCCCCTGGGCTGCGCGCGAATCTCCCTCCAGTCATTGGCAAGCTGTGGGCGCGTATGGTGAGACTCCAGGAAGCACAGCTGAAAACAGTCCCCAGGAGGCTCTCAGAACACGGCCAGGCTTCCCGCAGGCCTCTGTTGCCGGGAACACCGAGAAGCCAAGCTGGAGGGGCCTGGATCACTGCCCCAGGCCTTCCCTGAGCCATCACGCAGGTGTAAGGGCAGGACCTAAAAGGCCAGCCCCTAAAGTCCCCATGCAGTTAGTTCTTGCTGGGAAGAAAACATCATCCTTTAAGAGTGCTTGCATTTTCCATCCATGATGGCTGGCATCTAGTGAAAAGTTGTATGGAGTCCTGAAGAAAAAAAAAAATTTTTTTTTTTTTGGTATTGGAACTCAAACTCAGGACTTTGTGCTTGCCAGGCAGGAGCTTATGCCACTATCTCCCTAGCCTGAATTAAAAAAAAAAAAAAAACTGACTAGAAAAATTGAACAGAAAGGGCTGGGGAGATGGCTCAGTAGAATAAGTGCTTGCCTGGCATGCTGAAGGGCCTGAGTTCAATCCCTGGTTCTGGAAAAAAAAAAAAAAAAAAAAATTGAACAGAAACAGATTCACAGTGATTCTGACATTGGAGTTATTAATCAGAAGACCTTAAAATGGTAATGCTCTATCAAGTCAATAAAACAGGGGAAAGCATAAGTTTGAGCAACTGGAATCCATTTTTAGAGTCAAATAGAAAACATAAAACAGTGAGTGAGGAGAAGAACTCACTAGGTGAGCTTAATAGTAGAGATTAGAAACAGCAGAGCAATAGGATTGAAAACTGAGGGACAGGATGGTAGAAACATTTAGACTGAGGCACAGAAGTGAGGGATTTTTTTTCTGCACTGGGGGCTGAGGGTGGGGTTAATGGGAACCATCCCAGATCTTTGGAATTCTGCAGAAGGAGCAGGCCTGGAGGAGAGGTAGGGTTTAGTTTGGGGCATGGATTAGTCAGTTTTCTGTTACTGTAATGAAATGCCTGAGGTTGGGCACTGTGTAAAGAAAAGAGGTATATGTAGCTTGCAGTTTCAGCGGCAGAAATTCTAAACAGCTTGTCTTGTTCTAGTGAAATGTTAATGGCACCATGACAGGATTGTGTGACAGAAAGAGAAGTGAGACAAGAAGTCAGGGCTTAGGAAACTGGAGGTACCAGTTTCGCTCTCTGGGGAACTAACGGGGCGTCCCTGAGAAGAATTTCCTTCGCTGGTGCTGCCCTCATGACTTAGCCCATCCCAATAGGCCCCACCCCTTAAAGGTCCCAGCACCTCTCCTAGGACCACCCTGGTGCCTAAGCTTCCAACCGATGAACTCTCCAGATAAGCCACTTCCAGGCTGTAACATGATAAGTAGAGACTCAGATGCTTGAAGCATTGCTGGGGGCATCCAATAGCAGTTGAGTAGACAGCTCCGGAGCTCAGGCTTGAAGGCTGAGACCAGAGGTTTGTGAGCAAGCGGCAGATGGACAGAAATAAAACCATTCACCAGATACCATGCCTGTAGGAGATGCTACAGTATGAGAAAAGAAAAGGGCCAAAGAGGGAGCCCTGAAGGACCCGTGCAATTAGAAGAGGGGTCGTGTCCATAATCCCAGCTGTTTGGGAAGCTGAGGCAGGAGGGTCACAGGTTTGAGCCTAGCCTGGGCCACTTAGTAATTTAGTGAGACCCTATCTCAAAATAGAAAATAGAAAAGGCCTGCTGATGTAGCTCAGTGGAAAAGGCTCTGAGTTTAATCTCTAGTATCGGAAGAGAAGTGTTGGGAAAGAGTTTGCAAAGGAAAGTGTGAGCCTGTGAGCGGCCAGGATGGAAATTCGTGCTTTTGCTTTCAGGGAAGTTCATGTGAAACACCGTGGCTTGTTGGCCTTTTTAGGCATTTTTCTTTGAGGCAGTCAATTTGGCTTGGGTGAAAGCGATTCCCTTAATTACTGTGAGCCTGCCAGTCCGAAGCCTTGGCTCAGACAGCCCTCTCTCCCTTGCTCCGGCCTTGGCCCGGATCTTGGGTCAGGAAGGGAAGACCAATGCCAGGCTGGGAGACAGCATGTGCCAAGGCTGGGGTAGAGGAATGACCCAGGATTTCCAGGGAAAATCACTGATCCAGTTGGCCTGGATCAGGGCATTGGTGCAAAAGGCAAAGTTATTAGGGAATCTCTAGGGGAAGGCTTTGAGCTCTCGGGCTGTTCCGGTGCATGCAGTGTGGGTCACCCTAGACTTCAGACAATCCTGTTTCACATGGGAGCTGGAAGTCACAAATGTTGGGGCTGCTTAGCTGGGTTGCTGTGGTTCAGGGTCTTCTGTGGCACTAGTGTCAGGATGTCAGCTCAGACTGCAGGTGCCTGAATGTCCGGGAGGTCACTCCTCCCCCGTGGATAAACCCCTCCCATGACTTTGGCAAAGGCCCTGTTTCTCACCATGTAGACCCCCTCCATGTGCCGCTTCAGTGTCATTGCAATATAGTAGCTGGCATCCGGCAGATCAAATAATAGACAGACAGACACACAGACGAACAGACAGATGGACAGAAGGGCGCAGAAGTTGCTACAGCTCTTATGATTTAGTCACAGAAGGCACCACATGGGCCAGGCGTGGCAACACATGCGTGTAATTTTAGTAGTCTATGAAGCTGAGTTAGGACTGCAAGTTTGAGCACAGCCTGGGCAACTGAGTGACTTGGCGTGATCCTGTCTCAAGATAAAGAAGGACTAGAGAGATACCCCACTGTGAAGGTCCCGCAGTGCTGCTAAAAGGAGGACGAGAAGGAAAAGGAAGCACAAACGGCTGCCAGAGCGCCAGGCCTCTTACCCCAATTCTGTGCCCTCATCCCCACGATACCCTGCAGGTTATATGGGTTTGCCAAAAAGACTGCACAAGGGTGTAGACACGAACAATCAGAATCCACTGGAAGCCTTGTGGAGATTGGCTGCCACAGGGAACAACAGAAGGATTTTCAATCATCATGGATTCTTCCAGTCATTTATTTATTTATTTTTAGCGGAACCGGGGATTGAACTCAAGCCCTTGCGCTTGCCAGGCAAGCGCTTATTCCACAGAGCCATCTCCCCAGCCCCTCTTCCAGTCGTTTAAAAGTACAGTATTGACTGAATATTTTCCCTGATCCTGTTTATCTTGTGTGATACTGAGATTAGGTAGTGACCAAGGCAGGCTTGGAAGCCAGGTATGGTGGTGCATGCCTACAATCCCAGCACTCAGGAGGCTGAGGCAGGAGGATCTCTGTGAGTTCAAGGCCAGTCTGGGCGTTGTAGCGAGACTCTGTTTCAATAAGACAGATTTGCCCCTCCCTGCCCGGGGCTCAGAGCCTAGCAAGCGAGGTCAACCTGTTGCCACGTGCTGATGATCTAGGGTAGGCAGTTCTGGGATGCCTGGTGGAGGGCTGAAAGGGTTTAAAGAGGCACCTGCTCCAGCCCAGTGAGTCAGGGAAGGCTTCCTAGTGGAGGGGACATCAGAGTTGACATCTGAAGAAATACACAGGAGTAGAGGGGGGCAGGAAGCAAGGCAAACACGTGGTGCCTGGCTGCCGGTCACCAGTGTTGAAGGAGACATGAGCTGAATGGGGCTGCACAGGTTGTGATGGATTCTAGAATGATTCAGCTGGGAGGTAGACAGGAGGGGTGGATGCTGAGGGGAGACCCCCAGGGCTCTGGGGCACCAGTATGCGCCCCGTGGTGTCACCCCACCGCTTCTTCCTGTCAGGCCGGCAGCGCACCTTCAGCATGGGCCGATACCTCGAATGTGTTTCCTGCACCTCGTCAGACATGAGCTGTGAGCGGGGCCGGGAGCAGAGCCTGCAGTGTCGCCATCCCAGAGAGCAGTGCCTCGATGTGGTGACCTATGACAACCTGAAAGGTGAGTCCCAGCCTGCCGGCACCTCCTCCTCTCTGCTGTGCTCCTCCCCAGGGCTGCATGAGGGTTCAGTTGAGAGATTTAATTCACTCACACATACAAAATCCAGTGACGGGAAGTCCAGGGCTGCAAAGACAATTCCAGAGTTACTTCCATTCTCTGCTGCCTCATAGACCAATATAGCTGCCACAGTGCCAGTCTTCGTGTCCAATTTCCAGGAAAGAATGAAGGGGCAAGAAAGGAATGGAAAAAAGGAACCCACCTTTGTAAGAATTGACCTTCCTGGAAGTCCCATATAAGGTTTCCATTTATACCACACTGGCCACAAATGCATCACATGAGTACCTAAAGAGGAAAAGATAAACTTTTGGTTAGATATATAGCTATCCTAAATAAAATGAGAGGGCTGGGATGGAGGGTGGAGCCGAGAATGGCTGAGCCCCATCTCAGCCCCTCATCTGTAACCTGACCCTGACCTCCCTCTTCTGGCCCACAGTGAATGTGAAGGACGAACACCACACCCGTGGCTGCGGCTTCCTTCCCGGCTGCCCCGGCCCCACTGGCTTCCACAACCACCACAGCTTCCACTACCTGCAGTGCTGTAACAGAACCAACTGCAACCGGGGCCCAGGTAAGTGGGGGCGATGACCTGTGTGCGCCGGGGAAAGGGCAAGAGGCGCGCCCAGACCAGCTCGGGTGGCGATGTCACCCGCCACTCCCGGGCACGGCTAGCCTGACCCTAAGGAGGGCTGCACAGGAAGTCATGAGCCATCCTTCCCTCTCCAGGACCGGTGCTTCAGGTCTCCCAGGTCGGCCCCCCAAATCCTTCCGCGGCTCATGTCCTCTACTGCCACCACCTGGGCCAAATGTGCCATGACGGCCTCACTGGTCTCCCTGCTCCTTGCGCACCACCCCTAAGCCAAGGCCCAACCCAGCAGCAGGAGCGATGGGGGGAAAGAGGCGCAAAGCTTAGCGAGAAACCTAGAGTCTCTTGCGTGCTAGACCATCTGCTGTACTGCAGAGCCACACGTCCAGCCCTAATTTTTTAAAATATCAATCTGATCATGTCATTGTCCTAACTCAAGAACAGCAATGACTGCCTGCAAGCAGGAACAGGGACTGGGGGTTCAATCCCCAGGCCTGCCATGCCGGCCCCGACCCCCGGGGTGCGCTGAGACAGCGATTGAAACTGGGCGTGGTGGCTCACATCTATAATCCCAGCTCTTGGGAAGCTGTAAATACGCAGATCACTGAGTCCAATCTAGTAATGAGACCCTGAACAGCCTATAGACCCTTCCCAAAAATTAAAAAAAAAAAAAAAATGACTCCCCCATTTCCTTTGAATCAAATCCAGAGATCTTATTATGACCCATGTAATCCGGCATCTGCCAGACTCCATCCTGCCTGATGGTATGCACACTGCCCTCCACCTGAGCCCGTCTCCCTAGAGCCCACTCACCCGGCCACTTGTCACCCACTGTATCTCAGCCTTAAGTGTCATTCACGGTCTTCCGTATCATCTCCCCTGATGTGATGCAACCCTCTCCTGTTATTCTGTCCTCTGGACCCTTGGGGAAAGGTTCTATATCAGTGCTGTCTGGTATGTAGCCACTAACGTGAATGGCTACAGAACACTTGAAATTCAACCTGAATCCGAGTGTGGAGGCACAAGCCTGTAAGCTCTGAACTCTTGTAAACATTAGGATCTCAAGTTCCAGCCCGGCTGGGCAACTTAGTGACTTAGCAGGACCCTGGCTCAAAATGAAAAAAAAAAAAAAAAAAAAAAGCTAAACATAGCTGGGGATGTAGCTCAGTGCAAAGGCCCTGCAGTCAATCCCCAGGACCCAAAAAAAAAAAAA